CCCGAAAGAGCTCTGCTGGACGACATTCTGAGGAAGCAATACGGCTGGAAAAATATTGCCATTTCGCCAGCCGTATTGCCACGAAATAGGCCCGATAATGGGCTCTAAGTCGTGCTCGATCGGACTCCCAGTGGGATTTCCACCTGCGCTCCAGCCGTCTCCCCTCTCGCTTCATCGCCCGCAGTTCAGAAGTATACCAGGGAGCTGTCTGGGCTCTGCGTGCAGGGAGAGGGCGCTTAGGCGCAATCGTGTCAACTGCCCAGGTCATCTCCCTATTCCATAGGGAGACCTGAGCTTCGACAGGAGCGCCGACCATATCAGACGGATAATCCCCCAGAGCATTCAGGAATCCATCTGGATCTATTAGTCTTCGAGGACGGATCATCTTAATGGATCCACCACCCTTGCAGAGGGGAGAAGAAGCTAATAGACTAAACTTGACCAGGAAGTGGTCTGACCATGACAATGGGGTCACAACCAGCCCCTCCACATCCAGACCACCATCTTCCAGTCCCATTGAGAAAACCAGGTCCAAGGTATGGCCCTTCTCATGTGTCGGGCCGATGACACATTGAGACAGTCCCATGGTTGTCATGGCGGCCATGAAGTCCTGAGCCATCCCAGTCAAGGCAGACTCAGCATGAATGTTGAGGTCCCCCAGCACCAAGAGCCTGGGAGTCCTCAACACCAGGTCCGAGACCACCTCCATCAGCTCAGGCAGGGATACTGTTGGCACACAGCAAGGTGGGCGGTACACCAACAGAATCCCTAATCTGTCTAGCGAGCCCAACACACAATACAGGCCCTCAAGACCTCCTCTCAAAGGGATAGGTCAAGGAGATACAACCCCTATAGACTATAGACTATTTTGCCTCGAGGTTAACTCCTGAAGCCTTTTCCATCATTGGATGTAGCCACAAGTCGGTGGAGGTTTGAAATCTAGTTTTCCTTCTCCTAGGTGGGCTGCCTTCCAAGGCTGACGAGGTCCACCTACCCGGCAACTCTCCATTACGATATGGAAAATGATAAGTCAGTATACTATCCATTTGAAAGATCACATGTTGCCAATGGAACATTTGGTGTTTAGTCCTGTGTTTAATATTTATGCATTCATAATAATCTATTTTTATTGTTACCATGTTAACTGTCAAGGTTTAAAAGTTTATTTCTGGCCTGAATCTGGCATATGTGACAAAGGTTAATAGATCTTATCCAACACAGCTTTGCTTTCTAACCCTGAGATTCTGTGCAAAGATACCAGAATGGAACAAACATTGTTGGAAGGTAAGACTGTAGACCCATCATGAAATGAAAAAAAAGCATGGGGAGTGGGGGGGGGAGCTCAGTTTGGGACAGTTGCTCCTAAATCAAAGCAGGAGACCAAGTTGGTCTCATTTTAAGTAAGCATTATTTCTTGGAAGGAAAGCCAGAACAACCTCCCTCATCGGCTCACTGGCCAACAAGGTGCAGTGAGGTCTCCCCTCCCCTTGACGTATTCTTGTGAGTCAGGAAGTACATTTTCACCATTTCCTTCCTTCTCTGGCTAATGGATTACACTTTTTTTCTTGGTTCTGCTCCAATAGCAATCTTCACTTCCTGATTTATTCTATGCCAGGGTGCTAGTGAAAGCAGTACAGCAAGGTCCTGTGCCCCAACTGTGACTAGGGGGAGGACTTCTATGACATTTCACATTTTCTCTGCAACCTATGTGTTTGAAGCAATTACTCATAAACATGTTCAAACCTATGCATAAGCTCAAACATAGGATGTAGGGGGGAAATGACATGTCATAGAAATCCTTCCCCTAGTGATAAGTAAGAAACAGAACATGAAAGTGAAGGAAAACCACCCATCTTTTTATTTATACCCACCGAGACTACACAATATATTTAGTCTTTTACTTCTTTACATCATTTTTATTCTGCTCCCCAGCACCAAAACAAAACAAAGAATACAAACAAGATTGTCAAGGCTGTAATCCTACATGGTATTTGGAGTCAACCCCAAGCAATACCATGAAACCAAATAAAGACAAAGATTGTGCTTCAACTGAAAAGCAGACATTAACCACACCTGAAGAATATGCAGATGTTGTTGGACTTTAACTCCCATCAGCCCTAGACTGTCAAGTGATGAATTGTGGGAGTTTCAGTCCAACAATTTATGGCTGATCACATATATATTCAAATGACATCAAACTGCATCCAACTTATGGCACATTTATGAATAAATGAACTCTAAAACGTGCTGTCCTTAAGAGCTCAGCCCTTGCAATCTCAGGGTTGTGTTTTCATTTATGAAGTTAGTCCATCTCATATTTGGTCTTCCTCTTTTCCTGCTGCGTTTAACTCTTCCAGGCATTATTGCTTTTCCCAGGAATTGAGTCTTTTAATCATATCTCCCCAAAACGACGGCCTCAGTTTCGTCATCCCCGTCTACATTTCACATAAAATAGCCACGCCCCCCAAGTGCAAACATTCGGAAAATCCTTCATTATCCCCCCAAACGCCGCAGCCTCCCAACAGCAAACTGCATCGCCCGGTTGCTATGATATCCAATCTCGTCTTCAGGCAGCGCGCCTTGGGCGGGCCTGAGCATACGGGTCTCAATGAAAGGCAAAGCGCATGCGTACCCGTTCTCGCCTTCCCATTCAACATCGGTGACCGGCGATTGCACCCTCGGAAATCCGGGGAAGGAAGCTGCGTCGCGAGCTATCGCTCTTCAGGCGCTTTTGTGCGCAGGCGCAGAGGAGCAAAGTAAAGGCCGTATCATTTTGCGCGCAGGCGCATTCGGGAAGGCGGTGGCAGTGGTTGTCAGTGTCGACTGTCTTGGCATAAACTGTGTACACATTTATCAATATTTTTTCCTCGTTTCTCTTTCTTCCGTGCTCCAGTTTTAGCCATGTCGTACGGTCCGTTAGAGACTTACCGGCCCGGGGGCCTTCCTCCACGAGACTTCAGCGCTATTATTCAGACCTGTAGCACCAATGTACAGCGCCTAGCACAATGCAGTGAGTAACCATCTTGATTGCTTTGCCCCCCATTGACGCCCACTGCGCCTGATTGTCCTCTCAGTCCCTCTGAATTTCCTTCCTCTTTTTAAAAGTCTGTTTTTTCCTTGAAAAGTGTCTCTCCCTCCACTCCTGTTCCCCCCACTCCTGCTTCTGATTTATTTTATTTAAAATAATTTTTATCCTGTCTTTCCACTTACAGAATGCCCAATCCTGAGGCATAAAAAAGCAGCTTTTTTTTTTATGTTTCTAAACACAAATTAATTCTGCGTTATTAACAGGAATATGGTAGCCAGTGTCCCAGGGGACTCGGATTAAGGCTTCCCACTAATGAGCCAGTAATCATTTAAAAAGATGAAATCTCAAAACACTGCAGAAATAGACAACGAAGAAAATGTCGACACCCACCCACCCACCTCTTAAGCTTGTGCATCCTTTTTTTAAAAAGTTGTTTGGAACAGATTTTTCCCCCTGAAAATATATAATCTTCATGCTTAGAGTTCATAAATCCTGTGTATATGCATTTCATTGTGTGTGTGTTAATTTTCCAGGGCATCACTGTCTTGGATTCTCAATGTGTATGTGAAAAAAGATGCTGTGGTGTGAGTCTCACAAAACAGCCTCAAGACACTATTTCAGGCTTTCCCTTCTGCACAGATTTCATGGGGAAGTTGGAGGAGAGTAATATCTGAAATGCTCCTGATTTTGCTAAGATTCAGATTCATATCAAAATCTATATTTAGCTATAATCAAAATCTGTATTGATTTGTGTGGTAGACCCAGTCTTGGGATGGGCAACAGTGTCTTAAAAATACCAACAAAAAGCACAACAAAATAAAAGCAAAAAACAAGAATAAAATTGTGGCACCTTAAAGATTAACTGATATGTTTTAATGTAAGTGTCTTCAGACATAAAAGTAAGAATATGGAGGCTATATGGTTTTTTTTTTTGTCTAAACCTGTACCCAGAGATAAAAGGGGAGAAAAAGAGATTGATTGTTATTGCTAAGACCAATTAATTATTTTTCAATTATTTTTCTATGTTTAAATTCACATGTAAACTGAGGTCTTAAAAGAGTATCACAGCAGCATGTTCTGTGATTAGGACATCCTTCTTTCAGCCTTTCCCTTAGTCACAAAGAAGCCACTACAGTCTTCTTGTGTAAGTTATTATATGAGTTGGCCAGGTTCAGTAACACCTGCACTGACCTTTGTTCAACCCAATGCCTTGGCACAGGTAAATCTGTAACAGCCTCTCCTGGTTCCATTTTGATCTTGTGCCATGCTACTAAGAGTGAGGGAAGAGTATCCAGAAAAAAATGAATACTATTTCCTGGACCCATCCCCACAGTTAATAGGAAAGCTCTGCCCTCTCAGCTGTTTGTGGGGATGCAAAAATATTCTTGAAGTATTATATTTGTAGGAGACTGAGAAGTCAGCTGGCCTAAAATATTGCACTTGACTCAGCTAGGGCTTTAGTATTCCTGTGGTTAGACTGTAGTTTTATTTTTAGTTTTACCACAAGCAGTTACCTTTAAAAAAACATTGATGCACTGTTTTCATCATTGGAGGGTGACTATACCATCCTGTTGTGGTGAATAGTGTTGAAAATAAATTTCCCTGATATCCTGTTGTTGGTTCATAATCGGCATATTTACCTTGCTGTGGTGGCTGTGAATCACAGAAGGTTATTTCACAGTGAAGGGAAGCACTACTCACTTCTGTATACTGTGAGACTTTTAAGTAGTATTTTTAGCTTTAATGTATTGTCTACTAGGGATGGGATTTTTATTTCTTTTGGACTGAAAAAATTCACCAGGCATTCCCTCAAAATCCTGGGAGCTGCATCCCAAAAACAATAGTTGAAGGAGGAGCTTCTCTCCCCTCTCCTCTGTTGCCATTATATTTGTATTTCAAGAAGAAGGAACCTGTTCTTGGTGGTTCCTGGGAGTGGTGTAAAGTTTCATGGTGGACAACCGTGGACATTACGTCCAGCTGTGTGGACATAACATATATGAATACTGTACCCCCATCTCTAGTTTATAACCTTTTAAAAAAAGATTGTGTTTTTTAACTTTATAGTGTTACATTCCGTCACTTATTGCTGACAGATGCAATAAAATTAATTTCTTAAGAGTCATAGAGTTGGAAGAGACCACTGAAGTCACCCAGTCCAACTCCCCGCCATGTAGGAACATCCATCAAAGTACTCCCAACAGATGGCCATCCAGCCTCTACTTAAAACCTCTAAAGAAGGAGACTCCACCATCCTTTGGGGCAGCCTATTCCACTGCTGGACAGCTCTGACCGTCAGGAAGTTCTTCCTAATGTTCAGATGGAATCTCTTTTCCTGTAGTTTGAAACCATTGCTCCTTGTCCTAGTCTCTGGAGCCCTGAAAAACAAACCTGTCCCCTCTTCAACATGACATCCTTTTAAATATTTAAACATGGCTATCATGTCTCCTCTTAACCTTCTTTTTGTAAGTCTAAACATTCCCAAGTCCCTAAGCCGCTCCTTGTAGGACATTGCTTCCAGACCTTTAACCATCTTAGTCACTCTCTGGACACATTCCAGGTTATCAACATCCTTCTTGAATTGAGGTGCCCAGAACTGGACACAGTTCTTCAGGTGAGGTCTGACCAAAGCAGAATAGAGTGGTACTATCACTTCCCTTGATCTAGACACTATACTCCTATTGATGCAACCAAGAATTGTATTGGCTTTCTTGGCAGCCACATCACACTGCTGACTCATGTTCCGCTTGTGGTCTACCAAGACTCCTAGATCCCTTTCCCAGATACTGTTGTCTAGCCAGGTGTCCTCCATCCTCCCTTACATCTTTAAAGTCACAACAAAAGTTTATTCCAATTTGGCGATTTGATGGTATGTTTTTGTCAGTTCATTAAAAGGCAACTTGATGTTGCACTCACAGATTTATGATATTCGACATTGGAAGAATACAGTAAATGGTAATGAAATCTCAATTTTTAAAGTTAAATTCAGCACTAAAATTGGCAAGGAAATTGATGAAGGTATGTGTAGATAAACATAGCTGGGTTGAATCAAACTTCTGTAGCAATGTTTGCTCAGTGGAGAACTTTTATGGAAAAATGATAACATGTTGACAATTTCACTTTTATAGCTTCTCAGATAAAGAATTTGATGAGTCAACTGGGAACTAAGCAAGACTCCAGCAAATTGCAGGAAAACCTGTAAGTATGCCTTGTTATTCTAACAAAGTTTAAACTATTATCACTGAGCTTTGGATGTGGCAGAAGAGATCGCAGTGCTTGACATTTCCAGATGCAATAAAAACTGGACAGCATTTTACACACCACACTGGAAGGAGACACTGTTAGCTAATCCCCTCTCTATGATGCTTGTTCTCTGTTTAGAGAGAGGACACTTCCCTGGGGATCATTCATATATGTAGTCCTTACCTGCAGTCTGATGTAGTACAGACCATTCTACCAACTTAGGGCTCTTTCGTCTCATTCTGTTGTACATATAGCTCTTGCTGGAGCTTGTTGTATAGTTTTAACAGACTGTTGGGCGAGGTGGCAAAATCAATGATAGAAAGACTGGTGTTTGTAACATTTATATTCTCTTTCACAGCTGAAAATATTCTCTGAGTGCATATTAGTAGAGAAATACAAGCCTGTTCATGTCTTCAGGGTTCTAACATAAAAATGCGCAATACAAAAGGAAAGGAGAGTGAGAAGAGAAAAGGAAAAAAGAAAGTTCATGCACAAAAGTTTTCAGTGTTGTGGGATTCCTGTTCCTGATAGAATGACTTCCGGCAGATAGTTGTGGCAAATTAAAGGTCAATAAAATGCACTTCCCTCCTCCTTATACAGCTTAACATGCAGCAAAATATACATCAAATGCCTCATTGGGAATGCTTGTTTGTCCTCAGTAGCTCTGCACAATATAAAATCTTAATATCTGAAGACTTACATAAATGAGTTAAAGACAAATTAGATTTCTGGTTAGAAAAATTCCAGTTTTTGTGTTGATGTTTCTATTTGAAGCATCTAGAAACTAAAGTTGAGCAATACATTTCTTGTTCATAGGCAACAGTTGCAGAACACAGCAAACCGGCTTGCCAAAGAGACCAATGAATATCTGAAGGAGCTGGGCTCCCTGCCACTCCCTTTATCTACATCAGAACAGGTTTGTGAGTCTTCCTGTAGTTTTGATGAATCAGGAAGGAAACATTCTTGGTTACAGAAGAATTCACGTTCCTTTCAATTACCTAGAAGTACCAACATTCATTTGAATGAATGATCCAGAATGCCACATGAAGGTAACAAGTGAGAGGGGACCGTTTAGAGATTGGATTTGCAAAAATAAAACCAACCACCTTTGATTTTCTGTAACATGGAGGTTTTTGACAAGAGTAGCATTTGTTCTGGGAAGGGAAATAATCCCACCTGCTCTAATAAGCATGGAAAGAAATATGGTTGATGATAAATTAACCTTTCAATTCCTTCTAGCATATAAAATGCATGCAAGTTCTCTTTTCTGTGATTCTAATGGTCACTCTAAAAATCTTACATGACCAGATGTTTTCCCTTTATACCCAGTCAGTGCTGGGCTTTTTGTTCCTGTACAGAGCAATGAAAGCAGAATAGTATTCCCTCATAATTTTCCAAGCAGAAATAAAATCTGTTTTGTTTTGCAAACCGTGGAAAAAGAGAAGATCTGATTATACAGAAGCAACATATGAGCAATAAGACTCCTCATTTCTGGTGCTGGGGAAAAATTGCCAGACACTATAGGCTATCTTGGTCAGTCATTTGTTGATGTAATTGTATGAAGTATGAAACACCTCAGAAAATTTCTCTATATTGTACAGTATATCCTAAATATAGTAACCTAATTAGACACAATGACCAAATTCCTGGTGGTTGTGTAAGTTTTCCAAAACTTGCTGAGGCTAATTGCAATTAATTGATTAGATTCTGAGTGTATTTCAGTTGTACAATCACTTACTTAACCATGTGACCAAGGCATGCTCTAACATCTTGTCCCTTAGCTGCAATTAGTCATGGCAAGTTATGTGAAACTTATACAAATACTCATAGGATTTTTGAGCAGTAATTTAATAAAACACAATAAGATAACAATGAAAGCAGTATTACATTGGCCAGAATCCTGTTAATGATTATTTATGATTATTTACAGTGGTACCTCGCATGACGACATTAATTCGTTCCGCTAAAATCGCTGTAAAACAAAAACGTTGTCATGCGATTTTAAAAAGCCCATAGAAACACATTAAAACCTGATTAATGCATTCCTAGGGGCTTCAAACTCACCATCCAGCGAAAATCCTCCATAGCGTGGCTATTTTCGCTGCCCGTGCAGGGAGGAATCCATCCCAGAAAACAGCGGGCGGCCATTTTTTTTAACTTGGGGGCCATTTTGAAACCGCCCATCAGCTGTGCGAAAATCATTCCTTTGCGATGATCGATTACCAAAACAGGGGACCGATCATCGCAAAGCGAAATTCCCTCATAGGGAACGTTTTGCGATCGCAAAAACATCGACGTAAAGCGATTTTGTCGTCAAATGGAGCACTCGTAATGCGAGGCACCACTGTATTTATAAATTGCACTGCATAACATGTTAAAGCAAATTGCTGTTAACTGATCAGGTGCTGGTTGCATTACAAGAACATGCCAGATTGTGCAATGTGCATGCCTAGGAATGCAGCTATTGCCTCATTTGTTGGTATCAATTTGTTGCATTGAGTTATGCATTTTACCTTGCATATGCATAAATCAACAGGATTCTGGTCAGCACAAAACCAGCAGATGTATTAAAACAACATTTCACATAATAAGCATGCAAAAACTAACATTTCCATAAAAGAGTTAAAGTCACACCACAGCAGCTAACATCATGGAAGTTAGATATTAGAAATATTATAATAAAAACTGAGGAAAACAAAAAAGTCTTAGTTGTGCAGGTGTAAAAAGAAAATCAAAAGGTGTGTCAGGTGAGTTTTCTATGAGAATGCATTCCATAGGTGGGAAGCCACCATGAAAACTTGACACAGACAGAAGCACACCTTGTTGCCACCTTCCAACTCCAAAGGGTTTCTTTTGATTATGTTTAAGTAGGGTTAGATATATATGAGAAGAGGCTTTCTGTGTGTTTTTAGATATGAGATCTAAAATGGGTGCTGGAAAAGATACGTCTTGTACATCTCTCTTCTCCACCCCTCCTTGCCCAAGGTACTTATGACACTGAACTGAGCAGAAGGGACTGGACCTAGCATGCAGCTCTCCACAACTTATATCAATTTGAATGGTGATGTCTTAACCCTGCCTCATGGATGTGTGAAATAGCAAGTGGAGATGTACAAATACAGTATAAATAGTAAATACAGTAGTAGAAATAAGTTATGAAAATATTCTTGGAGTTGATGAGTTTCCCTTTTCACTGTTGATGCAATAAGTCACAGGAATAATTCTCTCTTTTCTAGCGTCAGCAGAAACTTCAGAAGGAGCGTTTAATGAATGACTTTTCAGCAGCCTTAAATAACTTTCAAGCAGTGCAGAGAAGAGTATCAGAGAAAGAGAAGGAAACTGTCGCCAGGGCAAGAGCTGGGTCCCGTGTCTCTGTAAGTTGTTGGCCAAACTGATTCTAAGAAAAGGGTATAGACTCCTGTCAAATGTTGTTGTTTTTCAAGGGAAATATACAGTAATATATCTTTTTACTATGACCATTCATGATGCTGGTATAAGCTAGACCTTGTCACTGATTGTCCATTTCTGTGGGGTTAAAATGCTCCTTCTGGTTTTCAGTGCTTAAATATCATTGTAGTATAAAGTGACTGAAAATTGATGTGATTTCCCATTTGGAGGCAGTGGAATATTCAAAGTGGGTTGCCTTGTATTTTTTTAAAAAGCAGCTTCTTCTCTATTCTCATATCCCTGTCTCTAATCAATTGCAGTCCTCCAGTTTATCTCATGCTAGAGTTATATTCAGTATCAATGCCATCATGCAAGGTACAGTAGATGGAAAAAGATAAAGAGACATTTGTTATTACCCAGTGGGATGTTTCTGTGCTTATTCAGGGTTTGGTTGACCTTATTTATGGTCAAACACAACTATTCCTATTCATATGAGCAGTGAACCTGCATTGCTTTATTGCATGTGTGTGGTTTTTTTCTTTTCTTTTTCTTTCTTGTGGCACATAGTAGTCTGAATAGTGTACATTGATCATATGTGGAGGGTAATGTTTTGTAGCAGGAGTTTTGGTGGGATTGTTATTTTGTCTCATTTCTATTCAATCCATTTTTAAAAATTCATAAGTTATTCTCTGAACTGTATTGCTTTGTTAGCCCTTAAATAAGCATGGATGAATTTGTCTTGGCCATAGGCTGTCAGAAATCCCACCAAACTACAATTCTTTGATGCCATATCCATTGAAAGGAAAAGGCTGTATATGTGGTAGCATTCCTAATAAACTATTTAGTAACTGCATCACATCCTCTCAACGTATTCTACTACAAACATTATCTTGTTGTCTGATTTAGAACCATATTATTTTATCCCAGGCAGATGAGAGGCGCAGGGAAGAGCAGCTGGTCACATTTGACAGGTAATTGTGTTTTTTTGTGGTGACACTCATCTTTATCTCTTCAAATGCAAACTGACTTATTGCACATAAGTTCTCAATGTGTGTAAAACTAGAAGAGTTCCAACTGCACAGCCAAAGTATTATTTGTCTTGGAGGGAAATGTGCTTTGTGATCATGCAAACTTTTTGTGTGCATCCAGAAGCCTGCATTCACTTCCCAGTTTGCAGTAACAATAGTCTTATAGCATCTAAATCAGCAGGCAACAGACCAAAAGATAATCTTCATCTAAAGTGGAATAAAAAAATCCAAGTTGAACAATGGTGTTAATTCTGGTTCGAAGCAAATGGTCACTTACGGTAACTACAGTAGTATATGGCAAACACTTGTTAGCAAAAACCAGGAAGGGAGAGAATATTAGTAGATGATAAGGGAAGAGGCACGTTTTGGGCTAGTGTTCCCAGCGTTTAGTACTCAGGTGTTGTTGGATGTTGGCTTTCAGAAGCCTCACTCAGTATGATAAGTGATGGAAGTTGTCATCGAACAACAGGTGAGGACCCACAGGTTGGCAACTTTGGCAAAAGCCCATGGACATATGTCTAGATGAGACCTGTCACACTTGACAGGTTCTTACCTCTCTTAGCTATAAGAGAAGTTAGGTTGGCCTCCTTTCTCTTGTCCGCTCACTGTCAGGCAAAGACCTTCCTTTTCAGGCAGCCTTTGAAGCAATAAGTGGGAGTCTCAGGAACATTATATTTACTAAAATTAGTGACTCTTAAATGTTTTTTAAATGCTTTTGAAACTTTTTAATCTTGGCTTTAATATTTATAAATGTGTAATAGTTTTTCATATAATATCTATGTTATTTTAAAACTGTTGATCATTGTTTTGCTTTAATTCTTGTGAGTGGCCTTGGGTCCCTTTTGGAAGAAAAACGGCATATAAATAAAAAGCTTTATATTCAAGTGAGCTTTACAGTCAAGTGAGCTTTACAGTAATTTTTACTAGTTGGGCACCCTCCAGCTGTATTGAACTACAGCTCTCATCTCACCTAACCAGGAAACTAATAGGATTCTTGAGGAGCTGTAGTCCATTACTTCTTAAGGAAAATCAGATGAGGAGGGCTGCAATAATTGTACTTGGAAGAGCAAACTGATATGTCGCATTCTTCCTGCAGTAATGAAGAATGGAATCAGATGCAAGCTCAAGAAGAAGATGTAGCAATAACAGAACAAGACCTTGAACTAATTAAGGAAAGAGAGACTGCCATTAGACAATTAGAGGTAAGTGGATTGGTCCTTGATAGATGCATTTTTTAAAAAAAATTACTTTATTTAGAGAGATCTAAGAGGAATTCTAGAGATACAAAGTTGTTTTGAAGAAACCTATTTCTTTGCATTTTCTTACTCCTAGTTAATCAGGATTGGTGTCTTTGCAGTTGTAGTTGGACAATTAACAATAATTACAGTTATTTTAGCTATCTTACTGGTGCCCCAGTATAGCTACCACATTCTAAATACTATTTATTTATTTTATTTTATTTTATTTTATTTGTACCCCGCCCATCTGGTCCTACGACCACTCTATTTGCCAATTTTGGTGTTTCATTGATTCTCTAGTAAAGAACTTAAACAAATATTTCTAAAGCTGGGCAGCCGTAACACCACTAAGGTATGGAGCATAAATATTTTTGTCCTCTGTACTATTAGATTATTATGCAGTCAGGATTTCAGGATTGGAAGAACACATGGGCTATGGCATCACTGAAGTTGTTGAAAAGCAAAAGGACCTAGTTATCCCAAGCTGGAGATATGAGAGCTAGATGTAGAAGAATGGACTTTCCTGATAGGAGCCAGAATGATTTGAATGGACAAGAAGCATCAAATGGAATATTAGGCAAATGAATTTAGCTGTGCTTCTGGAATTTAAGATGGACAGAAACTATAGAACATCATCTCAGTTTTGAAGAATGGGGAAATTCATGAAGATCAACCCCTGTTGGCTAGCTATCCCAGTGTAAGTTTGGTGGCATAAATTGTAGTAAGGGTATGTTGCTAGTAAACAAATTGCTGTGTGCCAGTCATTTGAGCGGGTATGCAGCAAAGGAACTCACTAGCAGCAATTCACTGCTGTAGTATATGCCATTATTCTTATGCAGGAATAACTAACCAATAGGATTCTAGCCAGTATCCTTCATTTTAAAGAGATTGGGGAGGGGGAAGGCTACTTGAGTATGAGGCATCCATTGTGTGAACATGGGACACTTTCTCAGGAATGCCTCTTCAGGGGCTCAGAAAACTATAGCAATAAAATAGGAAGTTATACATGAGTGTAGCTCTACCTCTGGGTTTGTTGGGCCCAAGCCGTAGTGAAGTGTGGCTCATTTTGTTGCTTTTCCAGATGACTTATCTTAATGCCCATGTAGTTTAGGGAGGTAAAATAAATCTTCACAACCTTTCTTTCAGGCAGATATCTTGGATGTTAATCAGATATTTAAAGATTTGGCTATGATGATCCATGACCAAGGAGACATAATTGGTAAGTGGATTCCTGCATTTGCTTGACCGAAGCCATAGAGTTTCATTTGCACATTTCTGATTCTATACATGGAGTCATAGACACAGTCTGTGGATGTCTGAATTGAGGCATCTGACCAGTTGAGAATCTGCTTGGTACCAATGCAATTGAATGCTTAGTTGTGAGGCAGAATGTTCAAATGTGCCCTGAATATGTAACTTGACCCATATTATAATCAACTAGCTGAAGAAGACACCAACGGTAGAAGCACATTTGACTCCTCTATGAATTGTTTTGATATAATTTCTGGAAAGATCTGACAGCTTATGACAATTGAGGTAATGGTATTTTTTCTGGTTATGTCCACATGCGCACACATGTTATGTATATACACAGGAGTTTGTGTGTACATTGAAAGCTTCTTAAAAATAATCAAGAAAATGGTGGCTGTTCACTTTAGAACAGGATGTGTCCCTTAGATCAGTGGTTCTTAACCTTTTTGAAAGAAACGCCCCCTTGAGCCATTGAGGAAGTTATCATCGCCCCCCCCTCCCTGTGGTGATGATATCTTATTTATTTATTTATTTATCTCATTCCGGTTTCCAAGCCATAGCGCCAGCATTTGTCAATAGACAATTTCCATGGTCACGTGGCCAGCATGACTAGACACAGAACGCTGTTACTTTCCCACCGAAGTGATACCTATTTATCTACTCGCATTTTTACATACTTGCGAACTGCTTGGTTGGCAGGAGCTGGGACAAGCGATGGGAACTCACTCCATCGTGTGGATTCGATCTTACGACTGCTGGTCTTCCGACCTTGCCTAAACTTAGGGAGTGTTAAATTGGACAGTCGTTCTACCGCCCCCCTGAAAAATGAAATCGCCCCCTGGGGGGCATTATCGCCCACGTTAAGAACCACTGCCTTAGATGATGTTGGTCAGTTATTACCAACAGCCCCAGGTAGCATACCCATGGGAACCACAGTCCCAATCACATTTGGAGGGGCACCCATTTACCCATCCCTGTTCTGGAAAGTGGAGCTTCAGGCACTTTTTCACTGTCTCTTCTGCAAATAGTTTGAAAGTTTGAGAGACAAGAGTATTTTAATTCAGTTTGAAGAGAACACTGATTTTTCTTTGTTTGTTGTTTTCTGCTTTCCTACAGATAGCATTGAAGCAAATGTAGAAAATGCAGAGGTCCATGTGGAAAACGCCAATGAACAGCTACAGAGAGCTGCTTATTATCAGGTAGGATTTCAACAGTCCTGTGTTTGTCACATACCAGAGGTGGGCAATCATAAAAAGTGGGAGGTGCTTCAGTCTTGTCCACTATTTCCAGAAAAGAATATAGATAATGTCTTAACATATATAGTCTACACAGAAAGTACAGTAATACAGAAAATCAATTTTATTTATATTTACCTGGTGCCAAAATAATAAAATGACTCTCAAGTGAGCTTCTGTGGGGAATATTTAATGACTGCAGTTCCATCACTCGTAAACAACCTGCCATGCCTCAATAAACAGCAGAGATTGAAAAAATGGACTTTTAATGCAGTGGGGGGGTGCTGTTTATAGGGAACGAGGGAAGAAAAGCTGCATTTTGCGCACAGTTGTGGCTACTTCTTTCTGTCAGCATCAACAGCAAGAAATTCACAACTTGTGTTGTCTTCTTTCTAGCACATTTTAAATATTTAGCTTGTTGAAAAACATTTTTGACAACTAAAATTGTTACTTTGTCATTCCATGCTCCTATTTCATTTGGTTAAATAGTGTGTCATTTGTCCCATTTTTCTGTTGCTTAGGTATTAGTCATTTGAATGTTGGATGCAGAGCTTATAATTCATTGTAAATAATGAGGTGGTTTTTTCAGCAAATTACATTCTGATTATATCTCAGTGAGGGATAATAATCTTAGAACTGCAGATCCGGAAGAGACTCTATGGATCATTGAGTCCAGCCCCTATCGAGGAGGCACAGTGGTGAATTGGACTGCCAGCCTCTGACTCCACAGCCAAATATCTAAACCACTGAGTTTTACCCCTTTGTGGTGTAAACTAGCTGCATTTACTTTTGCAGTTACCTGTTTACTAAAAGGGAGGTATTACAAATTTGTGGTAAATGAATATTATATGGTTCAAATGCTAGGAATGTTGAGGACTAGGTGAACAAGAGAAAAATATGCTTTGTACTACAAGCCAGCTTGCAGCATTCACATATGCGTGTTTTAAAGTAACTAGAAAGAAACTGTTTGAGCTACATTTGAAAAATAAAGTTATATTTTAAATAACCGATCCATTATAGTCTGAAGGCCCAAATACCATTATCATTACAATATTGAAAAAATAATATTTCACAATTTGGTTGGACCTCATTACCTTCTTGGTATAAATAGTTTCTCTCCTTCTTTTGCTTCCTCTTGACAGAAGAAATCTCGTAAGAAGATCTGCATCCTGATCCTTGGCCTGGCCATAGCTTCTGTAATCTTGGGAGTTATTATCTGGCAGGCATCAAAATGAATTGTTTACATCAAATTGAATCAATTGCAGAGCTGATGTTTTTTGCCACCTGGGAAAATGGATAGAGAAACCTGTGGAATGAATTGATGAGATGGCTGGAACTCAAAACTGGTTTTCCTCTAATAATTATATTGAAACTAATACGAAAATAACTAGTTCTTGGACTTAGTGAACCATGAAGACAGTATTTATCAGTTTATGTAAAATTATTTTATGTAACTAAATTTATATTGTGAATTTGTTTGCTATAATATTGCTGTCCTGAATGTATAGTGTTGAAGGGTGTGATTGGTAATCTAGATTATTTTGTTAATTGATACATGCACTACAGATGTAACTTTTTAAAATGTGTATTGCTTTTATAAATTACTTGCATAGGAATGACTTCCATGAAGGGCAAATCTGAGAAACCAAGCAATTCTCACTCTCAACAAATGTCTTTGTGTAATCTAGGGAGCTGCTTCAAATATGTGCTGTCATCCTGTGATGTGCCATTTCAATTTCTAACAGTAATTCCTGGCCTGCATCATACACTGCAAGAGTGGGGAAAGTGTAGCCCTCCAGATGTTAAACTGCAGTTCCCATCACTTTAGGAAGGATAGGCATCAATGAGGTCTGATGAGATTTTGCAACATCTGGAGGACCATATGATCCCATATCTGACATACTGTTTCTGAATCTTGCAGATACTACTTTTTAAGGCACCACAGTAGGTTGACTTCCCATAGCACATAGAGGAATATGCAAGTTTTCTAGTTTGCAGGCCCTTTGCTTTGAAGTTTTCAAAAGAGAAACACCTCAGTTTGGGTGTTTTAATGACATACATAGTGGTTGAGACCATCTGGGCTGGAAACAAAGAATGTACTTAGTAATGACTAATTTTGTGCTAGTGTTGGTAACAGAGCTTTCCCCTCTTCCATTTCTGTAGTGACAGTGAATAATTTAGCAGTGTATCAAACATCTTGTTGCCTAATGAAGCTGTAGTCAGTAGTGGACTATTTTACTTGCCAATTTCATAACTCTAACACATGCATTAAACACTATAGCACATAAAATATACAGAGCATTAGTTGAGTTAAAAATAGACATGACATAAAAATGATAAATAGGTTGAAATCCTGTTTCTTAGTATAATAACCAGAGTAGACCCATTCAATCAAAGGAACTGACAGAAGAGTTGACTCCCCAAATTGCCATTAATTAAATGAGCCTACTCTAGTTGTGACTTGCTACACCAAGCAACAGGATTTCAGCCATATTTTGAGAGTAGTCATGGCAAATCATTATTTTATCAAACAGGCATCTTCTGTAGTAGACTTGGCTGAGAATATTGCTTCTCTTCCTAGGCTATTAGTAGATAACGCAGGCCAAACACAGCAGTCAAGTATGAGAAGGTGCTGCACACACTGAAGTGACCTACACTCTACCTAACCTTCCCTCTGCATCCTTTGGAGCAAACACTTGTATCTGAATTTGAGAAACTAGTTTGATCCTGGACTGTTTTGTACCCAAAGGTTTTGAACAAATGTTTTCCCATACTTGGATATAGTGGGAAACTGCTGCACTTCTAAGCAGTAGAAAAGACATTTATTTTAAACTTCCTTGGGAGGGGCAAGAGCTATTTAAATGTAAGCTCATTCTCAAATTGGGAATTTGGTTTCCTATGTCTGATCTCTAAATTGACATATTAGGAGTCTTGGGTTAATCTCTCTTATCAAATGTAATTGACATGCAATGACTAGAAAAGTGGTGTAAAATTTTAAGATTCTATATTTGAGAAACTTATACTCACTATTTATTCTTTTTCACATTTTACTTATTTAAATTACTAAACTGTGAACGTCGGTGTGGGAGAAGAATGATGCCCTCAGTTGCACCTCTTTCTTTGCACTGTTATTCCCATCATTCCAACCATTTAACCATCAATAAACATTTTTAAAAATTTGACAGTGTCTTTCCAAAAGTTCTGACTAATCTCTAAATACCTGGAAAAATGCCTTTCTGTAGATGTATTCTGTGACAATATTCAGGCATATTTATTCTGCCATAAACTGTTCTAAACTGTCCATCTCATCGGATGCATGAAAAAGATTATTTTTTAACTATTTGGATTAGCTGCCAATTTTACTTTACCTCACAGAGTTCTGGAGAACTCAGAAACTTGTCTTATTTTGTAACTTAATGTTACAGTACAAATATTGTCCAACTTCAAGGACTGTCATTTATATCCCCTGTAGATTCCTAGTGTGGTGTGGTAGACAAGAGTGCCAGACTGGAATTCGCAAGACCTGGGTTTGAACCCCTGCTGACATGAAAACCCGGGGGGGAAGTGGAATATCTCATATAATGTATCTTGAAAATGCCATTAAGGTCACTGTAAGTCAATTCTGACTTGATGGCATATAATCACACATACACTTGATTATTTGTATCCTGAGCTAAAGCCAATAAATTAAATTACTGGAATGGGTGATTATCAAAATATTATACTGGATGCATCAATTTTATTAAGCATGCCAAATTTTAGATAATCCAATACACCATCATATTTCTGTATAAGTGTTTCCCCTTTTAATGATTAATAGTTTTGTAATACAGTATATACATGCTTATAAAGAGAAAACGCTTAATAAAAACAATTGGAGGGGGAGAAAAGCTAAAGTGGATGCTGCATTTCAGGATGAACCTCTGACTCTTGAAAACGCCCAATTTTCTACATCCATCTCTTTGTGGCTACTGTCACAACGTTCGGCATCCAGCTTACAGCGCTCACAAACTTCAATCTTCCGTCTCTAAAACCCAGGGAGAAAGCATCGCATTCCCGCTCTTTTGCTGGCGGTGTCGTGACGTCACTAAGGATGCCGCCTTGACGCTCTAGTCTAGCCCTAACCAGCCTCGCTCTAGCCCGCTCCCCGCCTCCTCTCCGCAATGCATGCTGGGATTGCCTCCCGCCCGATTGGTCTTCCAGTTTCCCGGCGTCCCCAGCGTGTAGCTGAATGGGGGCAGTCACAAGATGGCGGCGAACGCGAACTCTGCCGGTGGTGGAGGTGGCGGCGGCAGTCTCCCGCTCTTTGATTGCCCGAGCTGGTGAGGGCGGAGGCCTGAGGCGTTGGAGAGCGGGGAGAGGAGCTGACGTGCTGAGGAGGACTGGTTTTCCCCTAGGGAGGAGATGCAGCATCATAAAGGGGGGTGGGGGTGGGCCTGGGTTCAACCGCCCTTGTAAGGGAGGAGGGACAGGGAGAGCCTCTTGGGTTTGCTTCTAATGCCCTGCAGTGTCACGCTCGGCCCTGGGGTATGTGAAGTAATTATTTTTTTAAAAAAAGCTGGTCGGGGGATACGATCAAGTTTTAGAGCACAAAAAGAAAAAATAGACCTTACACGAAGTAAGAGGATGCTTCTGAAGCAGAACACAGTGCATGCTTATTGAGTGATGTACGAAGTACCGTAATATAGAAAGGTGCCTTTGAGCATAGGCAGAAAGCATATTCATTCAATCAAGCTGTATGAATTGTCGGTAAAGCAGACTTATTCTTGAGTGGCCTTCATGAAGTAATGGGGGGAATATCTTGAAATGAACAAAGTGCATTCTAGTGCTACATCTTATTACTGCAAAGTGCAATTACTATTAATGCATCTTATTACTAAGATGTAGACTACTTATCAACTGTCTAGTCCGAATACATCTAATTACCAGCCATGGACAGGAAAGAAGACTTGTTCAACTATCCTTAAGCATTGCCCCACCCTGCCCTAGCTGTGGTCCTATGGTTACAGTATTCCAGGAGAAGAAACCAGTGTTGCTATAAGCAGGAATACCTTCACATGACTGTTCAGAGAAATACTTGAAATGTATTTGGCCCTTAACTAGCAGCCATTGAGGTGAATATGAAGAATTGAATTCTGCTTGTGATGCTAGGTTTTCTGATTAAAACTATGCCAGATATTTACTGGACAATTACATGCAGGTCATTTCTGCTGTGGGATACTAGCCAGTCCCTACACTTTTGTGCAAACTGAACACAAATCTTGTTTGATTTAAGAAATACCTTACACAAATTAAGTGTTTGGGTTGACAGAAAGATGTAACAGGGAAATGCTTCTTGGTGAGTATATTATTCAGACTCTATGGAGCTCTCATTCTGCTTATTCATATTATATATCTATAAGTGTTGGGCACTTAAGTAATTTGGTCATAGAATTATTTGGGTGTTTTAGAAAGAATTTTTGTTTTATTTTCCTGTGCCAAATAACAAGGTTATGGAAGTGTCCCTATGTGTTTTGTGAGAGTATTGTGCATTACAGCAGGGGAGAATACTATAGTCAAAGAGAGCTATCCAGGTGCAGAGGTTACAGATTGCTTCCAAGTCCATACAGGAATACTATGTGTGCACCCCACCCCAGCCCATCTATCTGAAACCATGACAGTAAATGTGATGGAACAGGAGTGATAGGGTCGCTTTGCAGAAAAAAAGTAATATTTTTTTAAGTTGTAGCTAACCTCTGCTGTTAAGTCATATTAGTGTTACTGCACCCTTAATAGGGTCTTCATATATAAAGTATGTGAGATATTTGAGTGGTTTTATCAATGATACTCTCTAGTGAGTTTCCACGATAGAGTAGGGATTTGAATCAGCATTTCCTGATTGCTAGTCTTTCACTGGGTCCACTATACCATATTCATTACTCATAAAAGTGGTTTAGAAGAAAGACTTTTATTCTCCAGAAAATTAGAGAATGTGTTGTGTCAATCACTGATGATGGGGCAGAAACTATATCATGTATTTGAAATGTGAGCTGGTGTTGCTTGCATTGAGAGAATTTTAGTGACTGTTTCTAAAGGTTAATCTTTCAATAGAGACTTCATGCTTCAGATTTTCAAACAGGAATGATTTTAGGTTTACTGTCTTCCAAACATCCTGTGAACTTCAACGTATGCATCTTTTTCTTCTATGATGAAATGTGGTCTCAGTCTGTTAACCACTGTTTTTAATATTCCATATTAATGTAGCTGAGACATTATGCTGTGTTATTGTTTTGGGTGGTAGAAGGAGGAGTTACAGTGGTGCCTCGCTAGACGATGATAATCCGTTCCACTGAAATCGCTGTTTAGCGAAATCATTGTCTAGTGAAAAGCATTTCCCCATTGGAATGCATTGAAACCTGTTTAATGCGTTCCAATGGGGAAGAATCGTCGTTGTCGAGCGAAGATCGGCCATAGGAAAGCCGCTTTGCGAACCGCCGATCAGCTGTTTAAATAGCTGTCTTGCAAAGCTTAGGTCCCAAAACACCCATTTTGCGAGCACAGAGGGCGCTGTCAAAATCGTTGTCTAGCGAAAATTGGTTTGCGAAGCAGAGACCAAACATTGTCCAGCGAAATTCCCCCATAGGAATGACTGTTTTGTGAATCGCTATAGCGATCAGAGAAAGTCAATGTCTAGCGACAAAAACTGTCATGCGGGGTAACTGTCTAGCGAGGCATCACTGTACAATGAAAGGCAGGGCAGTATGTATAACCTTCAAGTAGAAATCAGTTTCCAGTTTCTCAGATTACTTACACTAAAGGGAACAATATTGTAGGGATTTCCCACTCAGCTATTGATATAAAACTATTAATCCCAACTTTTTTCAAGGCAGTTTGCAAAAGGGGAAAACTAAGAGTTACACTGTTAAAAATCATACAGTATCACACACTTAAAATGACATAAATATAAGGATCTAATATAAGAACTGACCAGGAAGAAATAAAATCAATCTAAAAAGTCCAGTGGAATAAAAAAAGTCCTCATTACCACCTAAGAATGGCTTAAGAACAGTCTTGATGGCTTTTATCAGGAAGAGAATTCTGCAGTTATGGCATTACCACCAAGTATGCCTTGTCTCTTACAACTTAAATAGGACTGTGATGCTGACCATAATGCTTGTATAGACTCATGTGGTTACTTCTGTCTGCTGTGCAGAATAAGAGCTGTGTTTGGGAAATAATGTTTCTGTAGGCAGTTCTGGGATAGTGCAGAAATGGTGCTACACAAGAGGAGAGACCTTTACAATGCTCTTCAGTGTGTTCAATGAGCTTGAATCTTTTAATGGAGAAAATGGAAGCCTTTTAATTGAGAAAATATATTCCACTTAAACATGAAATGTATCATAAAAGTAAAAATGAATGGAAATAATAGCAGCAATAGGCATTTGTAATGGTTTAGAAAAGAGATCTCCAAACTTTTGACTGTGAGAGCAACACCAGATATTCTCAACATTTTTTAGGGCTGAAGGAACAGGGACGTGCGCGTTACACACACCCCATGTGCACACAGGCCGAAGGGAACAGGCTGGATGTAGCCCGCAGGCCATAGTTTGGAGACCCAACCTTGGGTTGTCATATGTTCTTGGACTGCAACTCCCAGAAATCCTGACCACCATAGCTAGTGGTGAAGGCTTGCGGGAGTTGTAGTCCAAGACCAAAGGTTAGGAACCACTGCTCTAGAATGTTCAAAACACTATGTTTTCTTGTGATCCAAACAATTACTGCATGAGGTATCATTCCCATATTGCAGATGGAGAGAAAACACAATCAGGTTGAGACATATAGCTTTGAAGCAGAGCTGATATTTGAACAATAAATTTGTGGATATTTAAGCTTAGTCTTTTAGCCACTGTGCCAATCCAGCATCTCTAAATAAGGCATATGACTCCAGAATAATACCATACAATACAAATTTATTCTACAGCTAAAGGCCCAATAACAGAATAATACAGCAATACATAACACCATATTTGCAAATATTTGTGGGGTTTTTTCCTCCTCCTGTCCAAAGTGGGATAAATTAACCATCCCTGATATATCTTCCACATTGGTTTCACTTCCCCCAAGGTGACTGAAGAAGCTACTTGGAGGAGTAGCGAAACTTTTCAACCTAATAAGAAAGAATTCCAGTTGCCATGATTCAACTTCCAGAGATCCTTTAGATCTTGAAATCCATTTTGTCATTCTTCTAATTCACATCAGTGATATCTGAAGAACTAGATTTGATCCACAAGAGCTCACAATGAAATAAATTTGCTGACCTTTAAAGAGCCACAATATTGCCCTTTTCTCATCTTTTTTTAATCTCTTCTAATTTTGCCAGCATGCTCCTAATACACTTTCCCATTTCCCATAGTAGCCAGGCAAATGCCTCCAGGAAGTTCAGAAGCAGAACATAAAGGCATCTGCTTCACAGTTTGTCGCCAAAGTAACTCGTGTTCAGTGCGACAGTGTCTGTCTGTTTTTGGCTCTTCAGATGCTTCAAACCTCTCAGGTTGGAAACCACTATGGTGGCATATTGACACAGGCTTGAGGTTCCATTAACTACAAGCCCAATCCAAGGATTGGCCAAATTCCATTTTAAAGCCTTGTGACTCTCACTACAATGTATGGTAGCAGATTCCATACAACAGTATGTGTCCATGATAGTGTCTAAAGTTTTTGAATGTTAATTTCCCTTAAAGATAGCAGGTATACTTTGGCATTTTTCACCAGAATCCCAAATTTTGGTGTTACATTTTCAGGTTTCTGCCTGGTCTACTTAATTTGAGCATGGTGAAGCAATTAAACTGGCATAGTTGTTGCTGCATTTGTTTCATCCTAACAAAACTATGAATGACAGATGTACTTTGTTTTCATGGTAATTTTTGGTCTGTTGTTAACTTGAGATTCCAAGGAGTATTTTAACTATTCATAAACAAAATATTTTTTCTGTTTTTCCCTCCTTAGGGCAGGAAAGCCTCCACCAGGGTTGCACCTGGATGTAGTCAAAGGAGACAAACTTATTGAGGTATGAAAATAGATGTAACACTTTTGAATGTGAACCAGAAATGTATATCTGGTATATTTGCTTTGACTGATTGTGAGAGCACTAGTATTTCCATTTTACAGATAAGTCTGGTACAAGTCACATGCCTTTGTATCCCACTTTCATGCCACCCTTTGTCTTCAACATACAAGTGACCCAGAAGTGCTCCAATTTACTCTTAATACCTTGTTACATCTGAAGGAAGAAACTGTGGTTATCAGAATCATAATAAATTGGGGTCTTACATCAAACATCCTGGTTTGCTCTGATTCATACTGAGAAATTAAAGTTACCTGAAAATGTACAAATTTAATTGTTACATGCTGAGATGGTGGTTAAGGGCTGAATGTATAAGCACAAGTTTTATGCACATCACAGCTTATTAAGCCATATTTACACCTGAACCATGCCACTGTTCTTGGTTGGATTTATAAACAGTTCTATGGCTAGAACACTTAATGAGCACCATGGTAAATTGGGAGCTGGACATTGAATATGTTGCTTAATTCCTACGTTTACAAGTTTGGTAAGCACTTGATACTAACCAAGCCATCTCTATCTTTGTTCTCATTTAGAGTACAGAGGTACAACTAGTGATTGGCTGGGTCCAAAAAGTGCAACATGAAAACAAGCCATGTGATTAAGCTCCGTGTGTGCAGCATCACACTGGGTTATAACTCAGCGGCACATACAGGTTTTCAACCTAGTATAGAACAGTGGAGCAGTTACTGATTCTCCATTCTCATTTCTGTCTATAAAACTTGTTTGTCAGCAGCACTGAACCAGAAAATAATTGTAAGAGAACAAAGATTGGATACCATGTTGCCTCTTTGCCTAAATCTGTCCATTATCTTGGATAATTTTCTTCAGTGAATATTGTCATTTCGGTGCAGATTGTTTGTCCATAGAGTAGGACCCCCCTATCTGCCAGATCACTGTCCACTGATTCACTTATCTGCTACCTGAAAATACTAAATAAAAAACTCCAGAAATATATATTTACAGTATATGTATTTCCAGAGTTTATTTACCAAAACTGGCCATGAGGGGGAGCCAGGGACCATGCAATGTATAGCATTTGTTTTTCCATGGGTGGGGTGGGGATTTGAACTGATCCCTGCGAATACCACAGTCCTACTGTGTTCACATGTATGATAATAACTAAATGTTAACTTACAGATTTATATGATAACCCAACACTATGCTTGTTATTAACTAAAATTTAACATCTAAAGTGGTACAGTTCAGGTGAAAACTATTACTATTTGTAAAACTAAATTTCAGAGAACCCTTCAATTAAAGGATGATGTAGGAAAAAAGTCCTAAATCACACTTGGAATAGTATTATAGCTATTGTAATGGAAAATTTTAATGCATGAAACCTGATTATGTAACAGAAAAAGATCTGTTCTAGAAAAGGATGATAGACAGTAACCTGGTTTCCATACCTGTGATCAATTTGGCCAAGATACATACAACTCAGATTTTGTGTTTGGTGTATTGTACCAAGCAGAGAAAATTGTAAAACATTCATATGAATCAAGTGATATTTATTGTTGCTGCTTTCTTATTATAGTCCCAATGGCAACATGGAACAATCTTGCCATGTTTGTGCCTCCTACAAGGCAACTCTTCCCCCACAATCTCACAAAGTTGTTTGTTTTTAAATTACAGGTGAGTAGAAGTAACTTCTGAATTTGAAAAAGGGCATTGTACTCTAGCCTAAAAGATCTCTGGGGAGAGGGAGGCTAAAAACATGACAAAAATCACATCCCTCAAGGATGCCAAGGACTGCATGGTACTTGTGGGATGCATTTTTCCCAGCACAGTAATGAAATGGCATGAGCACCACCAAGTCCATTGGCTTTAAGAATGAATTGGACAAAACACTGTATGATATGGGCAGGAGTGGATTATGACTCCCAGAAGCCCTGATCAATGGATGTACTATTAAGGGTTTTGGGACGTTGCTGTTCACCAATATGTGGGACTCGAGGTTTGGAAGCCATTAATTTATTGTTCTGGTTAATTTGCTAGCTAGCTTTTCACTCATCGAACAAATTGCACCTGATTAGGTAGCAGATTTTTTTTTAATGTTATATGCAATTTCTTACAAAACTGTAGGTGGCATGCACCTACAGACATGTAAGAAACATGTCTTTTTCTGTCTTATATACATCTCTAATTTGCAATGACATGCAAACATTTTTTAAAGTATGCTACATGCTTCAGGACTCTTATTTTTACCCCTGTGTTGATACATGCTTGTTTGGTGGTTGTTTGGAAAAGGTTCTAGAATCATTCTTTAATTGCATAATGGTCTCCTCGTGGAACATTCTACACAAAACATGTTTCATGAACTTGTTCCTGTGTAGTTTTTAAAATTATTATGTATTTTGAGAGGACTTGAAGCCATAGCATTTTTAATCATTAGCCCAACTTAGATAACTTTGTTAACTTGCATATGGAAGTCTTAATTTTATCTTGCATGATCCAAAGACCGTGTCTTAAAATCTCTAATGTAACTATTGTGTTTTTTACTAGTAGAATTAGGTTACTACAAATAGATACTGTTTCTCCTCTTGTATAGGTAAAATCTTATTTTCCTTGAGAAATGGGAGTATGGAAAATATTTTCTTGAGATGATGGTTTTGATTGTGTACTGTCAGAGAAAGTTGTCTCCTTTGGTTGTTGAAGACAAAGGATTAACACATTCTTACCTTCTATTCATGTAAATATTATTTTGTTGCACTGTGAAACAGATGATTAGTTTATGACTTTTGTGTTAAAAATGAACTCACTTTTGTTTCTGTTGGCCTAAACATGGCCACAGTTGTGCAGGCTGCAGACACACTACCATAATGTAAGTCAGGCGTATGACAGACTAATCTGAGTAGCTGAGTGGGAGGGTGAAACATGGCAATCAGTGATCCTAAACAAGGTGCTGTAGGTGATAGCTGGCACATACATTCAGACAAGCCAGTGTGATTTAAGAGAGACTGAAGGCATATAATGAGAAGTCAAGGTTTTATAGGTGATTGTTGTGAGCTATTCTTTGCACCATGGTAGGTTTCAGACAGATTTAAGCAATCGGGTGTCCTCTAGATTAATTCTGATAACGTCTAACCATTGGTGATGTTAGCTGAAGTGTATCAAAACTGTGATCTAGAACGTATGAAGGATACCAAGGGCTATATCCACTCTTAGTCTTATGTAGAGTAGATCCATTGAAATGAATTGAACTTGCTACTGATGACTAACTTGAGTCAGTCTAATCTAGGACTTAAGCACAGGTTGTTTATTCTGGTTTAGGATATTAAGGTATGGTTCAGAACACAGCACTGCTAGAAAATCCATGAAGTCAGAGATAAAAGTGAAGTGTCAATATTTTCACTACAAATTGATGCCTACAAGCTGTAATGTTTTATCAGGAAATGTTTTCAGAACTCTTCACTAATCAGTTCATTCCCTACAGTTCTAGCCATTAAAATGTAAAGGCTTGTGTCCCAGTCATGTCCATGTTTATGTACTTAGAAGCAAGCCCACCTGATATGAATCATACTTATTGCTCCCTTGGCATGATCAGAACTGAGCTTCAAAGAAAGCTTTTCATATTTCAGATGAAGCTGCTGTGCTACCTGTAGTGTAACCAATTCGGTTATCTCTGACTCCTTCAGGATGCTGTGGTGTTGCAATGCTGGAACACCTGTTGTAGGCAATAAATGCCTTATCCAGAGAAATTTGGCATGATTGTGGAACTATCAACTAGGAGAGCAGAACAAATGGAGATGTGCGATCTGCTTGCAAGTCTCAAATATGCGGCAGTCAGGGCCAGTCAAACATCATGAATAGAACTAGGTTTGATTCTTTTAACATTTGAAAAAGAAGCAATATTCTCTGCCAAGTCAACTACAGAAGATGTCTGTTTCATAAAGTAATGATTTGCCATCCTTACTCTTAAAAAATGACTGAAATCCTGTTGATTAGTGTGGTTAGTCCTAACTTGAGGTCTGTTGAATCAGTTGATAAGTCAAACTCCTCCATAAGTTCCATTGATTCAAATGGGCCTACTCTAGTTGTGGCTTATTTTAGTTATTGAATTGGGATTGGAAAGCATTGGCAACTGGTGCAGATCTTTTAGTACTGGGATGATATGATCTTGATACCATTAGTAATTTATTTCATTTGCATAAAGTTCTAGACATGCCAAAGTTAATCCTGTGCAGAGCTCTTTGTAGTTGAAACTCTGCCTTTCCATTGGCATACTCAAGGCACTAATATAATTAGCAGTGTACAATACATCTGTAACTAATCATGTACAAAAAAAATCAGGAAAATTAAATCTCTAAATGGTAGGTGAGTTTACAGAACTAGATGCTTCTTTCAGTGAAAGTTTTTTCCATGGTAGAAGAAGACACAGATAGCTGGGGAGGCATTCTTAGCCCTTCGTCCTTAATGCTGACAATTGATGCAGTAGTAATGGAAACACACATATAACTCATTTGCAGTGGTACCATCCAGACAAAATTTAGGATTTCAGCGAGAAATGGCTGCTTTCTAATGAACCTCTTCACCTGCCAGTCTGTGATGGGCTAGTTTAATGAAGTTTTTCCTGTTGTGTTTCTTTTAATACTTAGATACATATTATTAAGAAGATACAGCAAAAGGTGTGTGGCTTACCTTGCTTTCTGTTTGATATCTAATCCCAGAAACTCATCATTGATGAAAAGAAATACTATCTCTTTGGGAGAAACCCTGACTTATGTGATTTCACCATTGATCACCAGTCATGCTCTCGGGTCCATGCTGCCTTGGTCTATCACAAACATCTGAAGAGGGTTTTTCTAATAGATCTCAACAGCAGTAAGTTGACTGGAACTTAATAGGGTAATATAATTGGCATGGATAGGTAAGATGTATAGAGTAAATGTTGAGGGGGTTTGGGTTCAGGCTTATTTATCCTCCTATTCTTTTGGCATACAAAAAGACATTTTAAAACTGGCACCATAACATTTCCAAAATTGTTGCATCATTTGATTTTCACTTCAGCTATAAAATCTTCCAATTGCAGTTGGTATCTGAGAAGGTGAAAGTGAGCCTTCTGAACATCCCTTCTTCTGTTATTCGATGGCTGCTTGAAATCTTAGAGGACTATAGTAAACACTTTCAAAAAATTTACAAGTACATACTTGTAATGATTGATAGGGTAGGTTGAGATAGGAATCATAGTGAAATTGTGACAATCTAAAATTTCATTTGTCCCAGTGAAACTCTAAATAGCATGTTGATAGTTAATATTTTTTGTTCTGTTTTGTTCTAAAATACCTAGCACATGGCACTTTTTTGGGACATATTCGCTTGGAGCCTCACAAGCCACAACAGATTCCTATTGACTCTACAGTTTCATTTGGTGCCTCCACACGAGCTTACACCCTGAGAGAAAAACCTCAGACATTGCCCTCTGCAGTAAAAGGAGATGAGAAAATGACCACTGAAGATGAGGAGCTCAAGGGATTGCTTGGCTTGCCAGAGGAAGAGACAGAGTTGGACGTGAGTACGCAATTGTGTGCCTGTCAGTGAGGTCTCTGCAAGTGCTGTGTTTCCTCTACATTACAGGGGTCCCCAACCTTTTTCACCCTGTGCACTGGCTGGGGAAGGCACCCCCCGCGCCCGTGCACATGTGCGAATGAGTGCTCTCTCATACACATGCACAAATGGCAGCATAGTGCTTGTGGGCGGGGCGCATACGCAACCAGCGGCGTGGCACTCCCGGGTGCACTGCAGTGCACACGCATGTACAAATCAGCTGTGCGGAGGTGAGTGCATGCAGGGTGGATGGGGCAGGAGGGTTGGGGACCTCTGCTCTACAAGGCAAGCACGAGGGTTGGGAGTTAGGACACACATTCCTCGTGGTTGCCTTGTAGAGGAAACACAGCACTTGCAGAGACCTCATTTAGCTTAAAAAGTATTATGGGTCTTTATATCCAGGTAGAATTGGGTCTGGTGACCCTTCTGAGATGTACATGTGTTTCAGGCTTTAGCCAAGAGATCTCTTGGCTAAATAAGAGTAACTGCTGAGGCAGGCTACCAGCTGATTCACTATTGACATCCTTCTGCCGTTTTCTAGAATACAGTTTGCCCAATCACACTGCTCACAATGTAACACAAGAGGGTGTAAGACTTTCATATCTAATGACATACTTTGTTTACAATGTCTTCTTTTGCTTCTTAGAACCTGACAGAATTTAACACAGCCCACAACAAGAGGATTTCTACACTAACCATAGAAGAAGGAAATTTGGATATCCAGAGACCAAAAAGAAAACGGAAGAACTCAAGGGTTACATTTAGTGATGATGATGAGATCATCAATCCAGGTGAAGACTGTAGACTTCTACTGCATAAGTCTGACTGCACCTTGTTCTTTTTTTTCCCTGTATGCATCAGTGGCCACATGTTTTCTTGAAGACCTTGGTTGTTCTTCACTTTAGGAATGGTGTTGAATACTAAATACACACTTCAAAATTTGCTTTCAAGTAACCATTGTATTTCCATCTAATTTATCCCTACAGAGGATGTGGACCCTTCAGTTGGACGTTTCAGAAATATGGTACAGACTGCAGTCGTCCCAGTAAAGGTATGGCCCAATATCAGAAAAGCATTTGTTTCTCTTTCCTTGTTTTTGCAATAGAAATGCTCCTGTTGTTAATGTTAAGATCATTAGAAATATTAACACTTGCAGCCTAACACCCAGCAAATACATTTTATAACAAAAATAATAATAAATAATAAACACTTTATGTAGAAATAGGAAGAACTATATTATGGTTTTCAAATTCACTTTTTAGCAAAATCAAGGATGAGTAAGGAATAAGAGGGAAGGTTTTAATGCAGTGCCCCCCCCCCCAAAAAAAAGACTGCAAGCAAAAAGGAAGAAAGTGCATATTGCTAAAGTATCTGGGAACTGGTTTGGATGCAATACAAATTTATAAAAAATAACGATGATATCCTGCCTCTATTAGGAGATTTAAAAAGAACAATTTAAGACACAATATTTATTTATGGTAGCATCTTGCCACATTTGATTGGAGTTTGCCATATATAATGGGTCTTAATAGGGTAATATATTCTTTATTATATATAAAGAATGTGCTAAATGTGATAAAGCCCAAGTGGTTTTTATATCCAGAGAGGTAGCTGTGTTAGCTTTGTTTGTATTGGTAAATGAAGACATTGTTATGATCATTACCTACTGCTGCCGGTTGTGTTAATTACAATTGCCCATTTAGCAATAGTTTCTTTTCTACTGCCTTTTACTTTTTGGCCAATGAGCCATTATATTCTGGCAGAGTGAGAGATGTTTGAGCATATCAGGAAAGCACTTAACATGCACAATAATTAAAGAGATTTCTAGCAACTTATTCTCCTTTTGGAAGGCATGGGCAAGACTTTAGGAAAGTGAGCAGGGAACTGACAGGGATGATTTTAATACTGCAATAATCAGCATTAAATGGTCACAGGCAACTTTATCTGTAGTGTCTGCAGGGTTTGTTTTTGTTCTAGTAGCTGCAGATGAGTGTTCAGTTTATGAAAATAACAAGTATAAAGTAAAAGTAGCCCAGTGTGACACAAATGAAGCATCATGTCCCAAATTTTCCCTTCTAATATCTCCGCAAATACCATTAAGCCAAGATTTAGTGTGACATGGACAGGCATCTGCAAGTCCAAGTAAAGCTTCAGATACTTTAAATACACCTTACTCCATGCAGCTGAAAGGCAATTGTAATAGGATTCAGTTTCAGCTTTTATGATTCCTAATTTTATGTTATATGCAAGCCCAGAATTGTGTTTTAAAATTAACTGTAGTTCATAAACCAAAACATAAAATCTATGGCTTGATCTTGGTTTGTTTGGCAGTTTACTAGTTTGAAACCATAATGGTTCACATGTGAAGATTAGTCAAAACTTACAGAAAGTGAAACTGATTTACAATTTATATTTTACAACAGATTGCTTTTCAAAATCATGTTATAGCCACTCTGATTGCACCTAAAGTTTTTTGGTGCGACACAAGGACTAAAGATTTAAAACCCAAGTCTCTGCCAACAGGTGTACAGCCTGGCACAAGGCAAAAGTGATGTCAGGGGAAGAAATTGATTTAAGAACAAATTCTTCATAAACTTCCAGAAATAAATATACATGTATTGCAGTCCTATTTGGGGGGGAGAGAGAAGAGTGGGGTACTCTAAAATGATTTGTGTTTTGGAGATTTTGTATTAAACAAATGTCTGTTCTTCTGCAGAAAAAACGAACGGACAGCACTGGGTCACTGAGCACAGATGAGGCTGTGACAAGGCGCATGCAGAACTTTCCCTATAGCGGAGGATTGTACGGTGGATTGCCTCCCACTCACAATGAGTCAGGCACGCAGTCCCATAGCATTCATGGTACAGCTCTCATTGGAGGCCTGCCAATGCCCTACCCTAATCTTGCCCCAGATGTGGACTTGACTCCAGTTGCACCTTCTACGGTTACCATGAATCCAACTCCAAATCCTGCTGTGTTTAATCCTGAAGTTGTGAACGAGCCCAAGAAAAAGAAATATGCGAAAGAAGCTTGGCCAGGGAAGAAGCCCACCCCTTCCCTCTTGATCTGAAGAGCAGAGCTTGGTCTCTGCTGTGGGTAGATGGGATCAACCAGTCAGAGCGGGGACAAAACTCTACAAGTGTTTTGGCAGCTTTCCAACTTGGATCCTAGCTCATAGCCAGGTTATAAGGCTTAAACTTCCTTATAAAACCAACCTTCAGAAGAGTTCTACAGCGGTCTAGAAAAGAAACACAAAAATATATCTCCCACTGCCTGTGGAACCACACTGCCTAGCAGCCTTTTCTTCTTTTATCCCATCATCTTTACTTTCATGGTTATTTTTCCTCTTAACCTTATTCATACATCTAAGGGGCACTGTCAAATAACTCACAGTCAGTATTTACAACTCAGTCTTGTAACTGCAATTTGGCATTGATACCCCAGTTCAGTTTTAATCAGCTGATTTTAGTTTAATTTTTGTATCTCAAGATCATTAAGTTCTATTAAGTGCTATCTTCTGTATGCCACCGAGGCAAGTGTCATCAGTTTGAAGACTAGAAACTCAACGCTGTGGTCAGAAAATAAGAATGGAATAGATTTATTGCTCCTTATCATCTTAGATTGAAAGCACTGAGAAATATCAGTAAAAGTATCTCCCTTAATCATATACTTCATGATAATCTGAGAGTGGCATATCCTGACAAAATAATGATAAAATAGTGATATTGGACATCTCTGATGGACCAGTACTTGGAATATGAATAGAAAATCCAGCTGTAGTTTTATATGACACTTTATGGGGTGTGGTTTTACTATACACAAGCAAAATTTGTTACGCAGTTTTCTGGACTTCACTTTTCTAGGTTGATCCAAAATCTGCAGTCCAAGGAATATAATCCAGTTTCTGAAATTTTATACTGTGTACTGTTCTTTCAGATGGAGATATCCAACAAGGTAAAACAGTTTTCTGACCCCAGCTCCACTGTGTTACATTTTGACCCTTCAACTTTTTTCTTAGGTTGAACAAAAATAGGCACATCCCAGGCCCACATATTGGGAATTAAAAGACTTTTCAACAGATTGCATTTTGTACACTAACTAATATAAAATTCAAGTAACGTTGTCCTTGGAGGCCTTTGTTCATTATCCCAGTTCTTGGTGCTATGCAGACTGTCAATCACAGTGCTGGATCAGTCTCTTCTTGATTCTGTGTACAGATGCAATAAGCCTATCCAGCAGTTTCGTGTTGCATGCAAGAACAACGGGCAGAAGTCCAGTGAAATCAGACCATTGTCCTTTTGATTTCATTGGGTGAGTTCATTACATTCTTATCTCCTCCCCTTTAGCTGGGATCAGTGGGATTTTAAGAAATAATGTAATCCTGCTAGATAGTTCCTCTTGTTTCAGAAAATAGTCTATCTAAAATTCCATTTGCCACCAAAGTACTGGGCCACATAGAGTTTAAGGTAAAATGGTTCCGTTTATTTGCTGTCCCCCTTCCCCCAAATTGAAACATTCTGTCACATTGGAAGTCTGCAGTGTGTGGATGTTTTTAGGTCACTTCATTTCTGAGCAATCTACTTTTTTCTTTTCCTTCTACAGTGTACATAGGGGGTCGTATGTGAAGATGGAGCTGTTTCTATATTGTGTGGTTATAGTACAGCACATTCCCAGTTGTGACAGCTAATCACTCATGAGCATACTCAAATCTTCCGTTACTTCTCTGGCGACCGCTCATTTTCAGGATAATTTTAGTTACATCTTTCCAAGTTATAGATCAGACTCTTGCTCTGAGGGCAGTTTTTAAGGCTATGACCAGTTTAAATCAATTGAATTTTTCCTTGCTGGATTTTAAAATAAGGTGTGTTTTTTTTAAAGGATTATTCTGTAAACTATAGCCCTTGGGATTTTACTGCTTGCTGCTCTCAGCCCCTCACCTCTGTAGAGAGTTAAAACTTTTATTTTCAGATCCATGAAGGTAGTCCTGGTCAGTACTGGGCATGGGTGAGGAGAGGTGAAAAGTGGGCTCTGTACATACATTTGTACATTTGTGTAATAAGCCTTTTCACACTCTGTCGAGCTTTTTACCTGTAACCTTTACTACACTGTAAATTAAATGACCGTTTTTGCCAACTGTAGAGTTTAATATGTATTCTCAAATTTTATAATGCATTCCAACAAATTATTATGTGCTATTTTCATCATATTTAATTTCTAGTTTTTCTGTTGCCATCAGATTTAATTTCTAAAACTTTCTGTCCTGTTTTCTATAATAATGCTAAAGACAACTTATAATGCATCTTAAAATCATAAACACAATTCAAGGGAAAAGAAATAATGCAACCAATATTAAAAGAATATTAAAAGTAAACAAAATTCAATTTTTAAAAAGCTGAAGAAAATACATTTGGTGTTAATGCTGCTGTTTCTAAACAACAACAGCATTAACATCAAATGAACATTTCATGGAAAGATATTTAAATACACTATTCCACTGCAGAAAAAGTCATTTTCACAATTGTCACCCATCTACAAAAAAAAAGATCAGAATATAGGCTGGTTAGAAGGGCTTCAAAAACTGTCTAGTCCTATCCCTCTTTATGCTGAAATCGCACCGAAGAGATAGGCCTCTACATCCTGAAGAGATAGGCCTTAAAATAGGTACTTTGCCTTGCCTCTTTAGTAGTAAGGATATGTTAGAAACATGCCCTCCTGGCATTGAACCTCTGTGTTTGCTGTGGGAAAAAATAAACCCTACACTGTTTTTTTCTGTTTCTTGAAAGTGGTAAAATGTGCCAAATTTTTGCTTTCTCTTTTTACCATATACCTAGCATAAACTTCTGTATTGTAAATTAAGCATTTCTCACAGAAATGGGAACAAATGCAATGAGAAATGATGAAAAGTCATTTTCACAGTCATCTTATTTCCTCTTTATGGTAAAGTGCTGTCAATATTTGTAAAGCAGGACTTCCCGTGATTTATAGAATCAAGCTAAAAGTAAATGCTAGGAGCAACAAAGCCTGTGAGGAGCAGGAAGCAGCAATGAGATGTTGGAGAACTGAGCTGTATGTGCTGTGAACTGTGTATTGCCTCTCTGCTAAGGATGCCTGCTCCATTTGGTGAGAGGTAGAAAATATGTCCTGTTCCAGTCAGCATAAGTAAGATTCAACTACCTGTCAAGTTGGCTTAGGCAGTGAGGAGAGAGGAAGATATTTTCTTCAATTTAGGCAGCAATATCTTTTCAGCTTGGGAGGAAAATGGGTAACGAAATGGCCACTCATAACTAGTTTTAGAAGCAGTAACTGTGTTAGTCTACTTGTCACCCATCTACAAAATTGGCATTGAACCTCTGTGTTTGCTGTGGGAAAAAATGATAGAAATGAAATAAATAAATAAATAAATAAAATTGCTGTGTCACCTTTTAATTACTATATTTTAATTTGAGCTTTCATGGACAAATCCACTTCCTCAGGCATAAGAGTGGGGCTATTTGCCATGTAATCCCACTCTTATGTCTGAGGAAGTGGCTTGTCCATGAAAGCTCACATTAAAATATTGCAGTCTATATTGCAGTCTTTAAGGTGCCACAATGTTTTAAGTCTTTATTTTTTTTATTTTGTTTTTAGACTAAAATGGCCATTGCCCCTCAGCATCTACCATTCAAGTTTACTTAACAGGCCATCCTCAAGTCCCTGCTGAGAAGGACAAGAAAACATTGTGCCATATCAAAGTGAAAGGTATCCCACTAATTATGAAGAATAATGATACTTTGACAGAACAATCCAGCATATTTCTGAGCTAGAGGTCCACCATGGGAAGAAATTTGAGTTTTCAAAAATTCCATTCGCTTTCATCACCAAGCCAGTTCTACAGAGCTGAAGAAGCTTCTGTTCAGGACATATCCAAAGAACACATTTTAGAGAGGCGGTGTGGGGTAATGGTTAAAGCACTGAAGTAGGACTGGGGACATCTAGTTTCAAACCTGCAGTCGGACCCAAAACTCCCCAGGTGGTTTCAGAACATTGACACACACTGTTTCACACATAACTACTAGCCTGCTTGAGTGTGCTGTGCTACAGCTCCCACTTCCTCTTACTATTGGCTAAAATGATCAGAGTTGATGAGAGTTGGAATCAGAGGAGGATACATTTCCTAGCCTACCATAGTATTTAGAGCTGAACTAGATTCAGATTCAATGATAGAATTTACTGCTTGTTTTTGGCTGTGGCAGCCATTTAGAAATTGCCAAAAAAAAAGGATTATGATTAATTTTGAAATAGAAGACATGTGGCCATAATGAAACAAAACTATGACTAGACAACCTGCTTCACAGCCTGTTGTTGGTGTATTATTAATAATCACCTTTCAATAGGGATCATCTCTAGGCAGAGAAGAGTGGGACATTACGGGTGACGTGGTCTGTGTCCTCCAAAGCAATGGTCCCCAACCTTTTTGACACCAGGGACTGGTTTAGTTGACCATTCTCCCAAGGATGGGGGAGGGGGGAGAGGAGTAATTGTTATGCAATAGTTTGTTGGAGGATAGCTTTGAATCGAACTCATGAGCAGGAGGTGAGCTGCAATGGCCTAGAGGGGCGGGGTAAAAATCAAATAAATAAATAAATGGAAGATCTGCCTCCTGTCAGATCAGCAGTGGCGTTAGAACCTAATAGGAGTGTGCTGACAGGAGGTGGAGCTTTGCTTGCTGCTCACTGGGCCAAGGGTTGGGAACCCCTGCTCCAAAGCTTTGAGAGTGCAACACAGGTCCTTAATGGGGAGACAGCTATCCTTAGTCAGGTGATTCCAATGTTCCAGGGCTTGGTTGGCATGATTGAGGGTATAATGAGGGGGTAGACCAGTTGGATGGGAAATTCCACAGAGGTAGAACAGCATTTTTGTAGCCTGATATGGTGACCCTGGCCTTTAGGATCTGCTTCACTACAGGTTGCATCTCGTGGAAGAAACAGTACATTCTTACAGCCGTTTTGGACCCCTGAATTAAACAGTGGGCAATGGATATTAAGCAGCAGCAAGGGGGGGGGGCAATGCCAACTGACCTTCCATCACATGTAGCAGAAGCAAGTGAAGAAGGTCCAGCTAATAATGAGGGGGGGGTCACACACAGTATGAAAAAACTAGCAGTGATCATAGCACCCCAAATAGCAGTACCAGCAGTTATATTCTAGAGTCCAACTCCCTCATCCCTGCAAAAACAGGACAGGTTTTCAGGGACACTGTCTTAATTAGCATGTCAGGGACCTGTCCTCCAGAGACACCACCCAGGAGGAAGTACGAGGCAGAGGCTTACATGCAGGAGCTCTGCAAGCCTGAAGATATTAATACCTTGTCATATTTGATGGGAAGGAATCTGCAAAGCTCTCCTCCAGCACCACATTTCAAATTAATCATTTTTTTCTGACCATACTACTAGTCTAAAATGGTCTTTGGTGTGATCAGACAGAATGACATCCCATAACTGTGACCATGGGTGCAAAGTCACCATAATAAGCTGGCCCTTCCTCTGTATGGCATCCTTTCTCCTGCTAGGCGAGCTCCTATCTGCCTATCTCACAGACCACAGAAAAGAGGAAGGGAAAGCTGCAGCTGTGTTTCCACTTCAGTAGCATAGCTGTTCTGTGTTGCCTCTCAGTGTTCAACGTTCTGCAGTGGCAACACAACCAGAGCTATGGAATCTGTTTCCTTCCAGCATTATATCTGCAGTCTGGATCTCAATTTCCTTCCTAGAGTGGTAAAGATCTGCTCTGGAGTCTACTTCCAAGGTGAGTTCAACCTGCTCCCCTCTTGCTAAGATCAGAGAAACTGAAGGCGTGTAACAGAGCTTCAAGGAAATTCAGGTTGCGTCTGTGTGTTGTGATGGGATAATACAATCATTACTAAGCTAGAGACGTACTGTCTAAACAGAAAGCTGTAGAACCTGGAAAGGCTGCTTTTTGGGACTGCAGCTCCCAGAATCCCAATGGTCCTACTGGAAGGTCTTGCCCGGAAAGGATCTGCCTGCTGCACTACTGTTTCGGAAAACGGAACGGTTGTGTTGCTCGTTGAGAAATAGTTGTGTGTAACGACAAAATCTCTTTACAAAGGGTTTGTTATATATTCTGTGACTGAATGGGATATTATAGCCATAATGGAGCATTTATTGCAATCCCCTTGACTAGAAAGTCAGTGTAAAAAGGCACATGACATTTACTGAGTTCCTGAAAGGGTGCATAAAGGGTTCTGCTTTCTTTTTTTTTGTCACAAGCACTGCAATTAATGATGTCCCATTAACTTGATTCTGACTTATGGTTCCCTTCCTGGGGTTTTCTAGGCATAAAGTACCAAGAAATCACTTAACAAGTTCCTTCTAGTGGTGCCCTGGGACCATGCAGCTTACCCAGGGTGCCACAAGGTATGGAAACCCCCCCCCCATCAGCTTCACACACTCCAGGCCATCTCAGCTGGCTCCTCTCCTGTACAGGATTTGAATTTCCCGCCCCAGGATCTGCGACCAGGCACTCCAATCCACTCATCTATGCCAGCTCACTAGCACTATAGGAGCAGGTGACATAGGTCTTGAATTAAGACTTATAAAGGGAAAGAACACAGTCACAGTGTGGTAGAGTCTCAAAGCATTAGCAATAAAGACGAACTGCGGACACAGCAGTCTAAATCGGCCTTTCCCACCTTAGTGTCCTTTGGGTATGCACCTTTTCCTGGGTTAAATAAGGTATTGCTCTAAAGTCAGTGGTCACTGAGTGCAAATTCCTCCCAGCAGAGTATTGTGGGATGGAACTGCTTCTACAAGGATTTCTGTTACACAAGTGGTGATCTGTTGGATAGCTCAGTGTTTTAGGAGCCAGAGGTTGGGAATTTGATTCCTCGCCTTGACAGAGGATGGACCTGATGATACATAGGGTCCCTTCCAGCCCTGTAGTCTTAAGATTATTATCTCTGGGAGAAAATATTCCCTGCACTCGTGCAATAGCAACGGTAGCACAAGGGAGGCAATTTCCTATTGCTGCACTAGTGGGACTTCCAGAAGCTCAGCAAGACACTGGATAGTACTTGGAAAGGTTCTTCTGGATTTCAACTACCAGAGTCCCCTTGCCATGCCACCTTTGCTGTCAGTGAGTTTCGGGAAATTATGGGATTGTCAGAGGTTAAGCAAGCATTTGTCAGTGCTGGTTTTGTGATACTTGTTTAGAATCTTAGAGGAATTGTCAGGGACCTTGAAGATCATCTCATCTCATACCACCTGCCAATGGCTGATCAGCGACCGTCTGGTTTCTCTCTAGCAAAGGAGAAGCCAGCACCATCTGAGGTAGCCTGTTCCGTTGTACCATTTGGAAGGTCTCCCCTCACCTCCACCGTTCAGTTGAAATCTCCATCTTTTAATTTGAAGTAGTTGTTCCAGAACCACCTCCTAGAGCAGTAGAAAGCAACATACTGCGTGAAAATGCTTTAAATATTTGGCAAGAATTATAAAATGGAGATTTTCATTTTTTGGCAAGGCCATATTTTAGAAATCTGAACTCTCAGTATGCTCCATCAAGCACAGCTCTCATGCTAGCTGAGAGTTTCTGGGGGAAATGGAGTCCATAAAAGTAACCTTTCCAATTCTGGCCCTTTATCAGCAGGTATATCATGCCTGACATTTGTTTTTATTTTACTCCCTGTTGCTATTTTATTACATCACCAGATACTGCAAATATTTATTGAAGTCTCTGCACTGGAAAAAGGAAAATATAAGGCCCAAAGGTGCAAACATACAGATAAAGGAGTTTTGAAAAGTGGGAACTAGCCATGCCATTGGGGAAACAAACACTCTGAGGGCATTAAAAACAGGAAGTTTGCAAAGCAAATAGTATATCATATAAGCTATCTTGACAGAGGGGCCTCATTTTCTATCTCTTACCAGTCAACAGGAAACAGAGAGAAGTGTTCAAAATAGAAGACAGCAACTACGTGTATGCAAATTACAAGAAAAAAAAAACACCCAACAACCTAGAAGTACACACCATGTGTGATAAAGCAAGGACAAATTGTGGGACAGTAACATTTTGGGACCTGTATTTCTCAAATCTTTTGACAACCAGGGATTCTGAGAGAGTTTTTTCCAAGCTCCTAAGAGGACCACAGCTGGCCCTTACCTCAGGCACCAAAATGTCTTGAGCTAGCCCTAGTGATCCTAGTAACACTGGGATGTCATTGTTTTGTGATTCCCTTGCTGAATATGGAATTTGGATCAAAGATAGTAGTTGTCTATTGACAAGACCACCAGCCAAAAACTGTAGGAAAGAGAACTGACTTTCATAAAATAGCCCATGCTATTTAGAAATAATACATTATTTGTTAATAATTTGGACAGAATTGGAATACATCTCACTTGAGTGAGGAAAACACTAATCCAGTGACTTCTGTTACTGCTAAATCTACTGACCATGTGCTGGTCATTGTGATTGGACAACTTTATGTTCTCCTATTCTTTTATCCATAAATTTGAGGTGAAGCCATTCAAATAGAGGACCCCTTCAACTGGAGGATTGTTTGCTTGCAGCTCTTTTAACTGATGACTATCCTCTCTGAAAGAGGACATGTGATCCCCTTACTAGATATTGTTCAGCTTGAGGAGGTTGGGAAAAAAGGAACAGAAAGGGGATCTGAAAGAAAATGGAAGGCTAGATGATAACTAATTATCCAGCACAAATCAGGAGGTTTGGGATTAGTCTTGGATTGTGGTGTGTGGGTGTTATGTCTTTTATTTCTGCCTACTTGTTTCATTGCGTCACTGTCATGGTCCCTTTTTTCTTAATTTTTTTCTATTCTGGGTATAGTGCTGAAATGGTTATATGGACCATCTTCCTCTAAGGGAACGCGAAAGCAAAAAGAAAACTAGAAGTTTTCTTTAAAAGATCTATTTTCAGTACGAGCTTTAGCTGATTACTTCATCAGACACATAGGTTGAATTCAAGTTGGTGCAACTACACTGTGCAAATTGTGGTGGTGGGTTATTCATTTTTCTTTTAATTTAAAACTTCCTATTTCCCACCTGCCAAGTGATTGGGACTGCCAGTGGTGATCTGGTGGCAATTTTCTGAAATTAAAGTTTACCCCCTCCCATCTCAAGTCTCCCAGGCTTCCCCAGGGCAAAAGGGATCCCTATGAAGTCTTGGAACCTGATTGGGGATGGGGGGGGAGGAAGCTTTAAATTAGATGAAAATTAAAATTAACTTTACAGGGTGATGACATCATCACCACGGTTCTGCAACAGGATTTCAGCCACAGTGTACAATATTTAACTACAAATTTCTATACATGATGTACCCTGTGTCCCTGAAAATCAGCCCTAACCTGAAAATAAGCCCTAGTAGGATTGTTCAGGATGCTCGTAATATAAGCCCTATCCCCCAAAAAAGCCCCAGTTAAGTGAAACCCTGCCCTCCACCATTGTGCAGGATTGTGCAGCAACCAGAAGATGACATGACTGTAAAATAAAACATCCCCTGAAAATAAACCCTGATGTGTTTTTGGAGCAAAAATAATAATATAATATCCTGTCTTATTTTTGGGAAAACATGGTACATTGTTGTAAGATGTGGAGACCAGATGCAGAGGATGCAGGTGCACAGGTAATGAACTTTCAAACTGACAATAGTATTAATACAGGGAGTGAGCTGTCAGAAGTCTTACATAGAGATCTTGGCCATAGGTAGAGTGATTATGTCTGCCACATTAACTGTGATCAAAATGCAAAGCAATATGCTTGTTTTTTTTCTGAATCAACTTCTGATTGTCATGCTGGAAACTTGCTAAAGCAGTGTTCCCCAACCTTGGGCCTCCAGATGTTTTTGGACTCCAACTCCCAGAAGCCTTCACCACCACCTCTGCTGGCTAGGATTTCTGGGAGTTGAAATCCAAGAACATCTGGAGGCCCAAGGTTGGGGACCACTGTGGTAAAGGAAAGCACTGGCCATGGTGCTGTCATATTGATGTGGAGATACAGCTGGCATTTAGGTGTGCAGCAGAGTCTAAGCAGGCATAGACCAGCAACCCAAAGATTGCAAGATATAAGTATTATTGTTAAGAATGGTCCGTAGTTTATTGGTGACCCATAAATATGAATGGTCTCATTTGGAAATTGTAGGTGACTACCAATTGTGTTTTGTTACTTTATCTTTTATATACTGCATTTTTCCGTGTATAAGATGCCCCCATGTACAAGACGCCCCCCTTTTCCAACCCAAAATTAAGAAATCTAAGTGGGGCCTAGCAAGTGTAGGGGGAAAGGGATCAAAGTGCTGCAGGATCGCTTTGATCCCTGCTTTCTCCCTTCATGCTTAGCAAAAGGAGGGGGAAAGGGATCAAAGCAATCCCGCAACTGCATGATCATTTTGATCACTTTCCCCCTTACAGAGCCACGGGATTGCTTTGAGTCTTTCCCCCCTCCTTTTGTTAAGCCCCATGGGACTTAGCAAGCAGAGGGGAAAGCAGGGATCAAAGCGATCCTGCAGCGCTTTGATCCCTACTTTCCTTTTGCTAAGGATTAGCAAGTGGAGTGGAAAGCAGGGATCAAATCCCTGCAGGAACAATTTGATCCCTGCTTTCCCCACCACTTGCTTTTGTACTCTCCTCAGCTTACTTCTGTGTATAAGACAACCCTCAATTTTTAGTTTAAAAATTTTAGACAAATGTATAGTCTTATACACTGAAAAATACAGTATTTATTGTAACTGCCTGTTCCTTGGTATCTGTCTTCCCTGTCTCTTTCTTTCACCTCACT